GGAAATTAAACAAATGTTGGTCCAAAATGTGATTTCCCTATATAAACTATAGTAAAGTTTACCCCCTCCCCAGGGGGAAACATGAGACCCCAGGGTCCAGAAATTCTCAAGTTTGGTAAAGCACCTTAAGACCCTTCCATCTATGAAGAGTATTTGATTGTACCATATCTGGGTCTTGAGAAGAAGAATTTTGAATTTTCAGTAAATTCGATCCTTTTTGGCCCCACCCATCAGCCCCTGGGGGTCAGTCAGGGCTCATATGTGCTTATTATCAAACTGCTACCTAATACTGATAATGCTAACCAAAATTGAATTACTTCCTACGGAAATTAAACAAATGATGGTCCAAAATGTGATTTCCCAATATAAACTATAGTAAAGTTTACCCCCTCCCCAGGGGGAAACGTGAGACCCCAGGGTCATGAAATTCACAATTTCGGTAAAGCACCTTAAGACCCTTCCATATATGAAGAGTATTTGATTCTACCATATCTGGGTCTTGAGAAGAAGATTTTTGAAATTTTAGTCAATTTGACCCTTTTTCGCCCTGCCAATCAGGCCACTGATTTTGTTGACCTTTGTCCATGGAAGGTCCCTGCCAAATTTCATTGAAATTGGTTCAGGAGCTTTGGAGAAGAAGTCGGAAATGTAAATTGTTTAAGGACGCACGGCGGACGACGACGGACAAAAGGCTATCGCATAGCTCACTTGAGACTTTGTCTCAGGTGACCTAAAAAACTTTCAAGATAATGACACGACATTTCGACTTCCTCTAAATTTCGAGACGTTTTCTCGAAAATTCTACGTTTGGATATCTGCATTATTTTAAGATGAGGGAGCATAATAGGCCCGGGGGATATCCAGAGACGAAACCGCGGTGGGATATGGGGGAGGAGAGGGAAGAAAGGGAGCGACACTCCTTTAAGAAGAACTGTTTTTTTTTATAATTTAAGCATTAGTGGATACAGGAATTGTAAAATTGAGGGATCCATTTTTCATATTATATCTATGTGTGCTGATATAAGAGGGTTCGGGGACATGCCTCATTCCCTGGGAAAAGATTGAAATCTAGAAGCATTGTGATGCAATTTTTGGCTTTTTGTAGTGTTTCAACCTAATTGAAATTAATAACGTTCTGTGGACTTTGTTTAAGCCAGACTCTATCTAATCCGGATCTGTGTATAAAGCTACAAAAGTCTTTTAACTAAATTAATGAAACTATTGCTTATCTGGTTTATTCTGTAATCCGGTTCTGTTTATATTGAGGATGGTACCAATCGTGAAAAATGACAAAAAATAAGTTCAAATTTTGCTCGGTAGCAACAATTTGAAAACAAGAAAACCCTCCTGTAGTAAGTTAAATTTTGGATTTCGAGTTATTATCTCTACTTTGCGTCTCATTACGTCAGGATTCGAGTCAGTAACACCGAAAAACGAAATATGTCAGAATTGAAAGGCATTTGCTTTTCAAATTTCATGCCGATAAGGACGCAAATCGGTTATATAATTCCACGAAGTCATGGTAAATATGTAAGCAACCGAGTTGCGTTCATACTGGCATGGAAATTGAGATAAAATAATATATACGTTCTTAATATTTAGTTTTTATTGACCTAAAGAGAGATATTCCCTTATATTTTCGATATTGAAGTATCTGCGTCGTCAGCTCAAACACGATTCCTGGAACAACCTTACGTCACCCAAATGTTTGATTCTAACAGTCGTGTTATGTTAATCGAGGCGGAAAGAGTAGCTTCAAGATGATACTGATCGAATTGCGTTCATAGCTCTATGAATTCAATTTCTCTGTAAATATATTCCTTTGCTTAGTGGTCCTCATGCTCTTCCGTAAGATATTGGTCAGAGCGGCTGATCGTTTTCGGCTAGGCGATTTGGTTCAGTGAATGGGTCAACTATTGTCTTCCTTTGTAAATTGAGTTTCTGTGCTACGTATCCAATTATCGAAACAATATATCATATCCACTAGTTAATATTGATCCGAAGTGTTTTCACCTGTCTTAATTGCACTAAAGTGAATACACCATTATTGACGGTTGGTATACATATATATATATAACAATACATTGTCATCCAGGTTCTTATCTGTGATGATTTGTTACTATGGTTATGAAAAGATTATTGGGCTACCATGTATTAACCAATCAACAATAAACGCGGATATGTATCAGCTATGCGATTTGGTTCTATAGATCGTGAGTTTGAGGCCTGGGCAGTGTACGAATCCAAAAATGTCATCATAAATTGCATTTCTAAGTAGTATATATACATTGTCATGCTGCGATTCTTTTGATAAGTCTCCCAAACGAGTTTTGTATTATTTCTTTTGACGCATTTCTTCTTATTAAGTCCAACATATAGAAACGGGACTTATGGGTTTTGCTGCCCTGTTGTGCCTTGTGATCGATCAGAATTGTACGATGTCACTACAACTCGGTGCATTATCTGTTAGATTATTTACTGGTACTACACAATCTATAACGGCCTCCGTTTTCATAACGGCCTCCGTTTTCTGATTAGACATAATGGCTGCCGTAAAAGGACTTCTGATTGCTCAAAATTTAAACATTGTTCGATTTCACTCGAATTTTTTCTGAACTAACGGTATAAAAAGGACTTGGTTTAAACTTTGTTTTATTCAAATTTTGTTTGACAATACGTCGAAATACATGTTTTATAAAACAGAAAAGGAAACAAAAACAAGTGTCGTGACACTTATGTAAATTTGTTACCTGCTTAGTAATCAGCTTTTCAACACTAGCTACAAGAATGAAGTAATATGTAAAATAGAATAATTACGGGAAAAGGGGAGGGGGTAATGGATTGGTATGCAGTGGAAACCAGGAATGAATAACATATCAATATACATATGATCATCAGATGGTAATATCATATTGCTCTATTGCAATGAGTAAGTGGAACACGATTCTGTAAAATATAACTATGGAATAGTAGATGAAAATGTCAGCAGTCCTGTAAATGGACACTCGAAAAAGGTTAAAATGTATATACAAGTTACAAATTTACATAGAATAAACCACAACTAAATCGACTATTGACAAAATTGGTATGTCACAAAGCACCGCCATGATTATTAAAAACGTTGCAGTTCACATACTAGCCATCACACTAATCAAATATAAGTCCATTAAACACTTTCCCGCCTCGTCCCTGGTACGTCCTGCTCTTTCAAGGTAACACATCACT